CGTACACACACTTTCGTTGAATAATTCATGTTACAAAAATATAAAGAATTTGTATAAATATAATTTTTTTTTGTGGTCACTCATAAAACATAGATCTGAGAGAAGCACTAAACTGGCTAACTTTCAGACTAATGCCTAATAAAAATATATCAATTTTGAGGAGCTAAAGGTCTGTGTGTGGCACCTTTCCAAAATTTTGCTTAAAGCTCCCTAACCAAATAAAAGTGGTGCCTTAAGAATTGGACCCATTGGCGTTGAGCTTGAATTGCATCCTGCTGATCCTGCATGCCTTGTGTTTTTATTGCCAAATATTTATTAATGTTATCAAAGATATATACCTCGTTGCTGCTTGCTTGCCTTGTCAAATTCTCGTTTTCTTTGGCCTCGGCTAATTATATAAACTTTAACTCGATTTTTCAACACTTTCAATACAAATTCAATTTTTTAAAATGTTTTATTTATGCATTTTCTCATTTTTATTACTTCTTTTTGTGACTTTTTTGTGTGACTTTTTTTGTGACTTGGCAACTTTTCCTATTTTAAACATTATTTATCTGAAAAATATATTCAGTTGCATAGTAGAAGATATCAACAGATTTACAACTTTATTCCTTATTTCGATAGTTTAATTTTACATTTTATAAGAATAATAAAAAAAGTTGACAGAAAGCCACTGTTGTAAACCAAAAGGTAGTGTAAAATAAGTTGTCCTAGGAAGAAAAATAAAAAAATTTTTTTTGCATTTTTTAATTTAACAAAGAATATACAAGTTATTCATACCAAAATAATTTTTAAAAAATTGAAATTTCTTTTTTATAAAGTGCTATGATAAAATTCTGGGAAAAAGGCATTAAGGTAGATTTCCACTTACAGATAATTTTCTGCGGAACGGAAAGGAAAAGAAAATCATCCAATCAATTAGCATGATTGAATGATTTTCTTTTCCTTTTCGTTCCACAGAAACTTTCCTGTAAGTGGAAATCCGTCTTTAGTTGTTCAATCGGTTTTTTCTATAGACTTGGTATCTGAGTTAACAAAAAGTATGACAAATCAAGCAAAAACCAGGAGGAGGACAGGAAGCCTGTTTGCTTCTTGTGTCTTGGCAAGGCCAGTTGCTTTTTTACCAAGCTTCATGACAGGAAAAGTGAAACAAGTTCTGAAGCAGCCAAAAGACTTTAATGATCCAAAAGTCCCATCTGGGATTTGTGAGCATTGCCACTCCAACATTAGGAGTGGTAACTGATATTTCATCAAAAGATCTTGCAAAGTATGTCTAAGAATCTCTAAGAACTTTTGAATCAATCAGAAAAGATTATAAATGTGACTGATGTTAACATCAAGAAAGCAAGTTCATTTAGAAACTCTGTTCATGCACCCACCATCAATGCCTCAGTTGAATTCTTTGCCTTTGATATGCTTCCACCAATGGAGCTTTATCTGTTGCTTGATGTCGTAAATCATCTTCTACAGTATCTCTTAAAGATTTGAGCACATGCTCCTGAATAGTTGGTATTACTTCATATTTAACAGCAGCCATTTCATGGTGGACAAATAGCTAGAAATTAGTGTAGGAAGCCTTTGAAGAATGTGGATGTTTTGGAGAAGTTAGCCCAGCAACACTCCTTCTTTCCAGCTGTTTCCTTTATTGACACATTAAGAAAATTCAATGGTGTTGTCCATGCTTCTTTTGGCAATGTCTTTTTTGACAGATATGGTTAAAAAAATTGAGCAATTCAGAGTCTCCTATTTACAACTTCAGGACTCCACCATTACTCCCAAGGTTCATGTTGTCATCCACCATGTTCCACAATTTATCCAATGCCACAATAGTTTTTTGAGAATTTATTCAGAGCAAGCAACTGAAGCACTTCATCATCTTTTTAGTACCCATTGGCAAATGTACAAGAAACCAAGCAACCACCCAGAGTATGAAGACAGGCTGCAAAGATGCATCAAAGACTTCAATAGCAAAAAATATTAATTAGGAATAATACAAATCAGTTTAAACATCTTCTCAATAAAAACAATTAGAATTGAAACCTTATATTGTCAGAATTGAAGATAATTGTTATTTACCAGTGCATAAATATTTTTGTTATATTTTTGGAATGAATAAAAATTTATGAAACCAACTTTGTTATATGTATTTCAAGCAAAATTTCTTTTTTTTATAACAATGAAGCATTTAAAGATTATTTATCAGTAAATATGGCAATAATTACTAATTTTAATGAGCTAGTTAAATATAAAGACACTTAATAATAATAGTACTAAACAAAAGTAGTAACTAAATTTAAATTTATATATGTAAAACTAAACATAAAAGTATAATTGTATAGTAAACAAAAGTGCATAAAACTTTAACTAATTATTTAAAGGCTATAAAAATTTTGATGTTTTTTTATGATCTGTTAAATATTGTTTCTTTTAACAAACATTTTTGTTGGTTAAGAATAATAAATTTGAGTTTCTTTTTTATTTAAAAAACACAGCAATGGTGCTACTATTATGGTGGTTTGTTTACGACTGATATGAAAGTTTATTATTTTACTGTTCCATGACTCAGCGCTATAAACATAATTAGTTAAAATTTTAATTCTTTTCTGATAGAAAATAACACCTAATATACTTTTACCCAATTACACTTTATTACATATTTATACACATAATTTTCCTATAATAATTTTTAATGATAAAAATTGTATTGCCCTAATTTACAATATATATATATATATATATATATATATATATATATATATATATATATATATATATATATATATATATATATATATATATATATATATATATATATATATATATATATATTATATATATATACACACATATACACACATATATATATACATATATATATATATATATATATATATATATATATATATATATATATATATATATATATATATATATATATATATATATATATATATACATATATATATATATACATATATATATATATATATATATATATATATATATATATATATATATATATATATATATATATATACATATATACATATACATATATATATATATATATATATATATATATATATATATATATATATATATATACACATATATATACATATCAGGGCTGTGGAGTCGGAGTTGCGACAATTTTAGCGGAGTCGGAGTCGCTAAAAAATATCGTGACTCTGACTCCGATAGTAAAATTTCTTGGTATTGCACGTGCATGTACAAAACATTTAATTAACCTTATGTTCATACTAAATTTCAAAGAATGTTTCATAAATTTGTCAAAAAAAAAATTTCAACTTATCGCACAATATTTTTTAAAGAATTCAAAGAATTTTTCAAAAACTTTGGAGTTGGAGTCGGAGTTGTACTCAAAAAATTTCAACAACTGGAGTCGGAGTTGTTACTAAATCACCTTCTTTAGGGGAGTGTAACACCCTCCCTCTCCCCCTGTAAATTGCCTCTATATATGTATATATATACCAGTAATAAAAGTAATTATTCGGTAGACAGTGGTCAATACAAAAGTAGAGAAAATATATATTATATTAGAATAATAATTAAGTACAATAAAATTTGAAACATTACTCGGAGTTTCATGCTTTATGCGATCATCAGATGTTGCAAATAACCTTAACAACATCAAAAATTAAACGTGTAGTTATTCTAATATAATTGAAATGAAAAGTTTTATATATGTATATATATATATATATATATATATATATATATATATATATATATATATATATATATATATATATATATATATATATATATATATATATATATATATATATATATATATATATATATATATGTATATGTATATGTATACATATATATATATATATATATATATATATATATATATATATATATATATATATATATATATATATATATATTTATGTGTATATATATTTATGTGTATATATATATATATATATATATATATATATATATATATATATATATATATATATATATATATATATATATATATATATATATATATATATATATATATATATATATATATATATATTTATTAGGGCAGGCCACAGTCCCACATGAATTTTTAAAACAATTTATTTTATTAGTGGCTGCATAAAGTAATGCTCCTTTTAATATAAAAATAATTTTTTGTTATTAAAGTGTTTGTGTAGCTCATCTCTAAGTTCTGCCGAAATTTATTTTTAGTTTGAGTAATTTGATTAAATCCAAAACACGAAACTTCCATTATATCTGTTCCGTTTTTTAATTTGTTTGGTATAATACTTTCTAATGATGGCATATTTCCATATAATAATATATATATAAGCATATAATAATGTAAACAACACCAGCTTACTATGTTTTTAATTATTTAAGCTTATATTTATTTTTATATTTACTTATATTATTCTAGTATTTTAATCTAAATATCTTCTTTTTTAAAATATTTATTTAACATAAATACTGCAAGATTAAAATAAAAACAATAATTTACAACTTGAGATCTAGTAAGAATATATCAAGATAATAATATAAATAATGTATATAATAAATATTTTATGTATTAATACAATATTTAATACATAAAATATATATATATATAATACATAAAATATATATATATATATATTTTATGTATTATATATATATATATATTTTATGTATTAAATATTGTAATTTCAAATTATATTAATAAGTTATTACTAACAAAGCATTTTCAAACGTTTTTAATGTGTTTGCATCAACAGAAAATAGATATATTTAAAACTGACTTCATAAAATTCGAAAATACTCTCCCTAACAATTTAAACTTCTCCCTGTTTTTTAATTAAGTAGGTAAGAATAGGTTAACAAATAAGGGTTGTTAAAAAGTAAGCATATGATAATATTATATTAGTCTTACTTAACATTTTAAGCACGTCATTCAAATTTTAATTGCATTGTAAATTCATTGGATTGCAAAATAAAATTGTAATAAATAACCTTACTTTTAGAAATGGTATAGGTCGTTCAGGAATGCTTCTAGCGTTATTGCTGTTTAAAGAGCAGTTAGAGGATTCTTTAAAGATTGTGGATGTTTATAATACAGTCAAAACGCTGAGAAATCAAAGGTTAAATATGATTGAATCATTGGTAAGCTATTTAGGAAATTTACTTAGTTTTTGTTGCGTGTATTTAAGGCTAAATCATTTTTATAATACAGTAAAAACGTCAAGTTATTTAGGAGACTTGTAACTTAGTTTATAATAGCTTTGCTTATGTCTTTTTATTTTAACCGACCGATAGGAGCAGTATGAGTTTCTGTATAAAGCCGTGGTTTCGTTAAAACACTATATCTTGTCAAACGGTAGCTGATTTTATTTTTATACTGTCAAAGTTCTTCATTGTTTAAGATTTATTTTATTTTTTTAATCTTAGATTTTAGTTTTTTATATTTTTATGAATATATATTTGTAAATAAATATTTTTAAATACATACAATTGCAATAACAATTTATAAATGTTTTTAAAAAAATATTTTATTGTTAGTAAACAATCATGTATTTAACGTTAAATACAATACGTTATTTAATCGTCCGATATTAACTAAAATTTCACGGTTGTAGTTATCTGATATAATATTAAGGCAGCTCTTTGGTCCTTTCAAAACTTATCTTTGTGAAATTATAAATTAGTTAATTGACTATTTAAATTCCAAGTGTAATAATTATTTATGTAAATATATTTTTATTTCGGCATATTTTGATTGTTTCAGTGTTGATTATATGTTAAACAAATCAATATATAATTTGTTTTATTCTATGTCGGGTTGAGGGTTTTAGATCTTATTTTTTATATTCTATGATGTGTTGAAGGTCTTAGGTCCAATTCACGTGGAACATAGTTCTAGAATATTATAATCAAATGGGTTTATAACAGGGTTGTCCAACGCGTGGCCCGCGGGCCACAAAGTGGCCCTCGTTGTCTTTTGCCATGGCCCGCGTTTTCAATTCTTAACTTATCAAAAACCATTCAAAACTTTTAACAAAATCAAGTGAATATTATATTTTTAAAACTATTTTTTCTGTAGCTCAGAATTAGGGCAGTTTTTTAATATAATTTTAAAAATCAGATTTTTTTTAAAATTGTAACACGGTTAAAACTACCGCCTTATTTTTTTTATAAAACCGGTTAAAACGGTATTGACTATTTGGTTAGCGGAACCATAGTTATATTGATTTTTTTTAAAATATGGCTTCTGCTAGTGCTAATAAAAGACGAAGAGCTGAAAGTGGAAGAGGAGGTCGTATATTTAACCCATCTTGGACAAATGAATATTTTGTAATGGAGCAAAATAATTCAATTATGTGTCTCATTTGTTTTGAAAAAATTGCCGTGTGCAAAATGTATAATGTTAATAGACACTATACTACAAAACATGCAGCAACTTATGATAAATTCAAGGGCCAATTTCGTGTTGATAAGGTAGAACTGCTAAAGAAAAATTTTATCGGGCAACAATCAATAATGAAAAGTAAAGTAATTAGCTCATACAGTGCTACCAAAATAAGTTTTTTAATTGCAGAAAATATTGCAAAAAGTGGTCAACCTTTTTCTACTGGAGATTTAATAAAAAACTCTATAAAACAATTTTGTAATGAGGTATGCCCTGAAAAAATACAATTTGCTGAAGATCTCAGTCTTTCACACCAGACAATTGCAAGAAGGGTTGAAGATCTATCAAAGAATATTGAATTAGCATTGAAAGAAAAACTATGTAAGTGTGAAGCATATAGTCTGGCACTTGATGAATCAACAGATAGAAGTGATACGGCTCAGTTAGCTATTTTTATTAGATTTATAACAAGTAATTTTGAAATAATTGAAGAACTGTTGGATTTCAGGCACATGAAAGGCACTACTAAAGGGGAAGATATTCTTTCTGAAGTCAAAAAAACAATGATAAAGTTTGATTTGCCAGAAACAAAACTCTCTGGTGTCACTACAGATGGAGCAAGTTCAATGAAAGGAAAAAATATTGGATTTGTGGCATTATTTAAGAAATCCATTAATCACAACATTCTTTCATATCACTGTATTATACATCAGGAACAGTTATGTGCAAAAGTATTAGAAATGAAAGAAGTCATGGAAATTGTTATCCAAACTGTTAATTTTATAAGAAGTCGTGGCCTTAATCACAGACAGTTCAAACAATTGCTTGAGGATTGTGGAAGTGAGGCAGAAGATGTAATTTATTTCTGCCAAGTTAGATGGCTTAGTCGAGCTGCAACTTTGAAAAGATTTTGGATATTAATACCTGAAATAATAAAGTTTCTAAAAATTAAAGATAAAGACACAAGCTTTCTTGAAAATAATGACTGGCTGAATGATTTGGCATTTTTAGTTGACATTACACAGATGTTAATGGAATTAAATATCAAGTTGCAGGGTAAAGATCAACTTATTAGTAAATTATATGAAAATGTAGAAACATTTGTTTTGAAATTGAAACTTCTCAAACAACAATTAAGTTAAAAATCACTTATCCATTTTAAAACATTGTCAGAAAGAAATACCAACACAGTTGACTATGAAAAATATTGTAATCTTATTTTAAAAGTAATTGATGAATTTGACACAAGATTTTGTGATTTTAAAGAAGTAAAGAATGAGTTAGACTTATTTTCACATCCATTTTCCATTAAAGTTGAGACAGTAAGAGATGAATTTCAAATGGAATTAATAGAACTACAAAACAATAAAGATTTGAAAGATGCTTACAAAGATGTTGAATTGTTAGAACTTTATAAAAAATACATGAACATTGAAGTTTATCCACATTTGTGCAAACACGCTATGAAATACTTTTCCCTTTTTGGAAGCACATACATCTGTGAACAATTTTTTTCAAGAATGAAACATGTTAAATCAGAGCAGAGACATAGGTTGAAAGATGAACACCTCACTGATACACTTCGGATTTCATCGTCCACTATAAAAGCTGACATTGATCAATTGTGTAAAAATAAACAATGCCAAGTTTCCCATTAAATACATTTTTTTTGACAATATTGAAATGGAATTAGTTGTTTTAAATTAGAAGTTTAAACAAAATGATTTTTCTTAATTTGTGGCCCTCGTGTTGTCATCAAAATAAAATAATGGCCCAGGCTGTAAAAAGGTTGGACAACCCTGGTTTATAACTTAATAAATTTTTGGCTAGGTTGGTGGCTTTACTTTTTCTAAAAAAGTTTTTAAAATTCACAATCAATCTCGTTTGACAAAAAATAACCTGTATAAAAAAATTAGGTTTTGAGTTTTTCTATTGAAGTTTGAATTCTACTGATATTTATTTCAGGTTTCTCATATATTGAACAATCTATTTGAAAGTGAACAAATTTGGTAAATATATTTTAAAAACAATTATTTTAAAAATAAATTCATTATTACACAGATTTTACAGGCAATCGTCATAGATTCAGCGTAGTTAAAGAAAGATCCGAACAATTTGCATTTTTTAAAAATAAAAATTTATATTTTTAAATTTCTATTTTTTGTGTTTTCCGCTTATTTTCGACAATTGAACCCGTCATTTCGAAAAGGGCACAAGTCACACTTTTTTACAAATTTCACTTTTTAATGCAATTTTATTTATTCAAGTGTTGTACATATTCCATTTGAAGGAGAAACATTTTCTTATGCCACAAGTCAACTTTAAATGCAAATGAAAATTAAAGTCTGTTTGAAAATGGCACAAGTCCCGGACTTATGCCTTTTTCAAACAGACTTTATGCGATTTTGGAAAATCGCGAACTTGCTGAAAACGCATACAGATCTAGAAAAAGAGTGTCTGGTATTAGAAACAGTGGAAATTATAAACATGAAAAAATAAAAAAAGCCAAAATTGCTGGAGAAGCTTATAAAAACCACAAAGGAAATGATGTGGTATTAAGTCAAACGGGTGCTTCTTGCAACTTAGTTTTTTGTTCTTTAGAGTATGACTATATTCGTTCTCAAATTTATGCTTATTTACTCAAGTTTTACCACCAATAATTGGAGGTAAAACATCTTGATATAACTATTATAATATTACCTCAATAATTCTATTTATTTACAGATGTAATTCAAAGTGTATGGAGCTTGTATCTGAACATTTTATAGAAAGTACAATTCAGTTTGTTAACAAATTTGATTGTAAAAATGCCCAAGACACATACTTGCAGTCATTGATTGAAAAGAAGGAAATAGAGAGAAGATGGTTTAGATCTAAAGAACCTTAGAAAAAATAATTTTCTTTTATTTATCACATTAAGATTGAAGGTATGATGAGAAAAGTACGCAAGAAAGCTTTTTGCTGTATGCGTGGAATTTCTATGAAACAAGTTAGACGTTTATGCATTTTATTAAAAAAAAAGAGCAGCCTTTAGATTACAGAGGTAAATCTCAGTGAACACGATGCAACGTGGAGATACATTAGCAAAACTGGAGATACATTAACAAAAGTACGTGAGCATATCTAAACGAAGTATGTACCTTTGTGCTGAATTATATTTTAAAAAATATTGGCAACGAAGCCAAAGAACTGCACCTATTTTCTGATGGTTGTGCAGGCCAAACAGAAATCATGCTATGGTCCGAATACTTTTATCACTGGTAGCTGAACTAGATAGCAATATAGATGAGATACAATATTACATACCAAAAAGAGGTCACTCATTCTTGCCAAATAATAGAACGTTTGAAACAGCAAAGCGACTTTCGAAAAAATGATCGGATTTACACACCAACAGAGTATGAAAATCTTAGAGCTGAAGCAAGCGAAAAATTTGAAATTAGAAGGCCCAAAACTAAAGATATTATTGATGTAAAAAAATGGTGGCCAAACCATTATAAGAAACTTGTGCTATCTGTGGATTTCTATTGAAAAGGAGTACCCAAGGACAAAAAACTTACTTTTGGTATTTCTAAAATCTCACATTTCACATTCTCTAATACCACACCAGGTTTAGTGAAAACACATGAATTAAAAGATTGCTTAGTCAGTTATAATTTCCAGCTATTACAAAGGATGGGTATTCGGTCAACCTTACCCTTAAGTAGTACTCCTGCATATGTTGGAAAATTGCCTATCAATGATAAAAATATATCAGATTTGAAAAAACATGAAAAAACATATTCTATATTCAATAGAAGAGTACCAAAACTTCTATACAAAGGTTTTTGCTTCGCCAACAACTTCGGCAAACAATGAATTCCAAGAAATAAGTGATGATTACCTAACAATAATTGTTTTTATGTAATAATAAATCATTATTATTCTGATAATCTTTGGTTTTTTATATACAAAAAAGCGTTCATTCCGAAAAAGACTAAAGTCCATAAATTTAAATTAGATATATATGTGTTATATATTATTTTTTTATAACAAATAAAACTCTAAAAACTTATTTTTGTTGATCCTGAAAAGTTTAAATAAATGGACTTGTGCCCTTTTCGAAATGACGGGTTCAATTACTGTTGATATTTTTAAAAAGTAGAATTTAAGCTTTTCTCATATAATTTATTATTTTTTTATAAATCTTTTTTTAATCTAGCAAAACAAAACTAACACTAAAATACATAAAATGCGACGGGGTAGCGTCTTAAAAAAATCTGAAACAAATGTTTTAAGTATTTACATTCCATGTCTCTTATTCGAAAATAAAAAGATTTCTTGTTAACAGCATTAAAATATTCAATAAATGACTAAAAACCTCTTTTTTTATCTTTCCGTAAACAGTAAAAACGTTAAAATCGAAGT